CAGGAAGATAACACCGGCTGAGTACATCAATCATCCACGGAGAGAAATCACCATTTTGAGGTCTATTTAGACAAAGAAGTCTCTAAGACGAATGGTGCTGGTATTTACGATAGTAATAAAAACATAAATCTCACAGGGGTGGGACCCGCCCGTATCAATTCTAGCTTGAAAAAACTTTGTTTTGTCCTGGGGGGGGCTAGCCTGTCTGGGGCTGCCAAAAAAAAAAGGCAGCTGAGAAGAAATGGCTGGAGATAGAAGCTCCGCTTCGGTTGGATCTAATCTCTTTCCACAGCCAAAAAAAAGAAAAAAGGCTGTGGCTTACGAATAGACCCTAACCTACGGAGCTATCCTCCCTGCCCCTTTCTTAGCCAAAAAGGGGTGCTATCTATGATCTTATTTAGATATACAGACCAGATCTCTGAGGAGTTCGGTGGAGCCCTCCTCGGCAACAGGCCACACCCCCGATAGTCCTGACTTAATGACTACAATTAGGACTGCCAACTCAACACTTAAGTGGTGCAGTTCTTAAGTGAAACATCACTTGACCGCACTGACTTACAATGTCACCTCTGGTCATCCTAACATCATGGGTCATTAAGCATGACATCACATGTTCCTGACTTATGACTTCTTGCGAGCTTTTCCATTGAGCTTGTCAAAATCTGGCAGGGAAGGTCATAAATGGTGATCACAGGATTGTGGGGTACTGCGGTCATTGCAAAAGCATGCCGGTTGCCTGGTGCCCAAATCACGATCACGTGATCATGGGGACATTGCAACAATTGCAACTTCAAAGTCTGGTCATAAGTCTCCTTTTTCAGTGCTATCATAACTTTGAACGGTCACTAAATGAGTGGACAGTAAGAGAAGACTACTTGTACAACAAATCTAAATTAATGAAGAAATTGGTTCTGAGCTTCTATTCAGATCACACAAAATGCTTTCTCATGAAATCCAACCACTTATCTTTTCCAAAGAATTTAAAGGAAGAACAGTTTATGCTATTAATCCTGAAAAAAATGTTCTTATTGTACAGCAGCAAAAAAATGTACGTGGCAAAATGTATGTAACAGAGGAGGTTTTGACTGAATGTTGTGAGATGCTCATAGCACAGAGATTACTGAATTAGCCTCCTGTCTGTCCTTGCAGTACATGAAGAAGCTTCACATGCAAGAGAGGGCGGTGGAAGAAGTGAAACTTGCAATTAAACCCTTTTACCAGAAGAGGGAGATCACAAAGGAGGAATACAAGGATATTCTTCGGAAAGCTGTGCAAAAGGTTGGAATTGTGGCATTGTTATATTTTCTTCTTTAGGGTGGCTGTTTTAGCATGTGTGAGTGAAAGAGAAGGCAGAAAAGAAAGGTAAGTAAACAAGTCTGAGTGTGGCTGTCTTGGTGACTAGTTTTTAGCAGCTGACACAGCAATAGCCTGCTAAGTCAATCTTAAGAAATACAGAAAGTGCTGCTTGCATTAACTCCTGGAACTGACCTACCCTTTGGCTCTCTTTACAGATCTGTCACAGCAAAAGCGGTGAAATCAATCCCATGAAGGTGGCTAATCTTGTGAAGGCATACGTGGAGAAATACAAACACATCAGGAAACACAAAAAAGACTGATACTGAAGAAGAGCCTCATGACTCAACCAGGAAATGAGAAACAACCGTGGGAGAAGTAGAAAAGCTTCTCCGGATGACAATGTTTTCCTTCCCTTCGAGGGAGGCAGAAATACACCATTGCATGTTGCAATCCCTTCTCACCCTCCCCACCCACCCCACCCTGGAAACTGGATGCAGAAGACCTTCCTGCAGCTGGACACATTTTCACATAGGAGCCTGTTCTTCTTGGGGGTTGATTGCTGATGAGGACCCCCTGGGCTCCTTAACCTTTGAGGAAACGCTGGGGAAAGGATGCGTGTGTGCGTGCGTGGGGATGGCCTAATTGTTTGTCATGGTTTTGGGTTATTTTTTAAATTTCTGCACCACTCACCAGAATTTAAAACAGACACTTTTATATCCGACATACAACAGCGTGTGCTCCTCCCATTGTCGTTCTTATTTATGAAAAATGCAGGTTCTTTTGTGATTCTCACAAATTGGTTTCATACTTGAACTGATGTATTTTTTGCCTGTCCTGTGAAAGAAATATTGAACTTGTTCAGTCAAATGGGACACGCAAACGTATGTTAACCTTTATAAATTTCCCCCCGAAAATCCTGCTATGGAGATGGTGATTGTTTACATCCTGTTAGCAATGTCGCGATGAGGAACTTTATTTGGGGTCTCTGGGACAGCGTGGCCGTGAACTGAATTGTGTCATGCTTCCTGTGAATAATGTACTGAAGGCTGGTTTTAAGTCCATCTTGCATTCAACAAGCTGTCTTTGAACAAGAGAAGACCAGAGTTTGGAAAGCAAACACAAGGAATGTAACCAGACCATGTATACAGCAGAAATCTTACAATTTATAAAATTATTTTGAATTGTTTCTTATTCATATTGGTTTATTTGTTGATTCTGGTCTTATTCCTGATTTCTAGTGTTAATCAAGGTCAAGTGGGCACAGTTTTCAAGACCTTCGCTTTCTTTAAAATATTTTAATTTAAATAAAAAGTTATAGACAAGAAAAGGTAGAAGTCATGCAAAAAGAAAAAAACACTATATAGTTGTAAAGTACAAATAAGTAAAATAGAATCTAAAATGTCACAGAGGTTACAGTTTTATAATATATTCTTAGCTACTTTTTATAAATTATGAAATATATGACTTTTTAAAAAAGTAAAAAATCACCATTAAGCCTTAAACTTTAAATCGAATTAATATATAATCCACTCCAATCCAAAAGGACTTTGGGCAGACAAGGCACCAAATTAAAAATGTGCAATAAAGACAATAGAAACCAAAAATCATTGGTATCATTAATAATACCGATGACGGTCATCCATAATCGGATGGGCTGAACATGTTGGGACACTGTTGAGTTTAGTTTTCAAAAGGTAAGCAGGATAGTGGCTACCTGAAATACTACACGGGGGATGTTTCAAAAATTGGGGGAAGAGCTTTCCACATCTTCTGTACAGTACCTTACCAAAAGTGGAGAAAACCATCTCTAGATGTTCTTTGCAGGAACATGATCAGGCTTGGCTGTAGACATTTTGGTGCACTAGGCAAAGACCTATTCTTGTCTCCCCAGTGGTTTAACTCATCTTCTGATTTTGTTAGGAATTTGAAAAATGCATTTTCCACAGTGGTGAAATTCAAATTTTTTTACTACCAGTTCTGTGGACATGGCAGGGGAAAGATACTGTGAAATCTCCATTCCCATCCCACTCTGGGGCCAGCCAGAGGTGGTATTTGCCAGTTCTCCCAACTACTCAAAATTTCTGCTACCAGTTCTCCAGAACTTGCTTTTTTGAGCTTACAATTTTCTTTGAAATGATGTTTACCACTTGAGCAAATCCACTGATACTGAGTGTATTGTTTACTGCTTTTTGCTTTTTAATGGGTTTATTGCAGTTTGTTAGAAGCCTTTTCAATTTTGGTGTTCCCCAAAATTTGGCACCTTAGCTGACTGGTTAGATTGCCTATACCCAAATCTGGTCATTGCACCATATAAGCAGATAATGAAGTTTTAAAAAGATGCTTGTGCTTAGCAAGATTGCAAGTAGAGAAAGATGATACAGACAATAGATAAGGTGAAGGGAAAGAGGTCAAAGATCATATTGTAATGTCTTCTAGTGACTGCTAGAATTAAGTTTGAAGTGGCAAGCTACAGTCACCAGAAATGAAACCCAACTTGTAGCATTTAAATCATTACTTCATTGTTTGATTGCCCTATTACTTTGGAGCTCTCATTCTCATCCTCCTCCCCCCCCCCCCAGATCTCCAACTAATTAAATATACCAAAACTCTCACAAATATGTAAGATAAGATCCTAAACCATGTATTAAATTAAAACACACTATTAAATTTTGATCTGCAAATAGGCTTTTAGACATTTCTCAATTTACTCAATTTCAGTGAAGCTAAATGAGCTATTTGCTAAACACCATGGACACCTACAGAAAGTTCTCATCTTGCCTAGCTGAGATTTGGAACCCAAATATTCTTTGTTGCTTCTGCTAATCAAAATTAAAATCTAGTTTGGCCATTTTATCCATTCCTACTTGGAAACACATTCGATAGTATTCTTGGCAAATGCTCATAGGAACATTCTTTAAACTGTTCATGTTAAAATGATGCCTCTAAAGCGGAAATAACAGGTCCCATGTAGACATTTGTTCTAAAAAATGGAGTTGACACGATAAGCTTACTTTTAACATGTTATTTCTGTTGTCGTTTCTCCTCTCTGCACATAATAGATTCATTCTCTTCTGATCGACAAATTTCAGAATTTTGATACCGCAGTCAATGGACACAATGCAAGTGGAGAATACCAAACATAAGAGTTGCATGTAATATCATCTGTCACATCACTAAAAGAATCCACCTTTCAAACAATTATCATCCCTCCCCAAATACTCATACACCCTGCATACACACGCAATCTGGGATGTGTTCTCAAACCAACGACTAAGTTAAAAGTAAAACCAAATTCTAAGAATATCGATTCTCGCCTTAGGTTAGATGATCTCTGAAAGACCTAGGTTTTCATGGCATTAGTGGAAATTGGTAAGATTAGACATTTAAAAGGACACCAAAGCTCTAAGAAAGAACAATGTTACAACTGAACATATGAAACGGTGCTTTTTTTAAAAAAAATTTGTAGGCATCATTTTTCTGGAAGTTGTGGAAGCATTTTATTATCAGAGAGCCATCAGTCTGCCCTTTGGGGAATCCAGTTCTTCCTCTTTCATTTCCCTTGGGTTGCAGAAAATGAAGGGAGGGGCTATACAGCATTTAGAAATATGGGAACGGGGAGGAGAAGGTGGAGTGCAAGTCTCTTCAAAATGAAAATATTTCAGGAAATGAAAATAGAAGGCAAGCACGCAGCTGCTGCTTGACAAATAGAGAGCAAAGGCCAAAATATGTCTGAGCACAGATCTCGTAAGTATCAATCTTTAATTCCTATTAATTGCTATGTATAGTTGAGAAGATTAGGTCAGAGGTCTAGGTGTCTGCAGCTTTATACTACCTGGATACTTCCACTAGGGCACACATGTGATCCAGGGGTTGCCCATCCCTTCTTTTTACAGGCTGGGCTGTAGCAACTTTTTGGCAACTTTTTTTTTAATTGATTTTTTTTCAGTTGGATTCATGCAAGTTGCTAAGCCATAAATCATGAACTTTAATTAGCTGTTCAACAATTGGACCCACTCATAACTTACTTATCATTGACCTGTATTCTTGAAATCAAGCTGCCAAATTATGGTACAAGATTGTATGAATCTCAGCAAAGTCAATCCTTTGCCTCACATTTTATGCAATTGTGAGATGGCCAAATAACCACATAGAATTTATTCCTTAATATACTATTTTGGATTGCACTGTCAGAACTGGGATATTATTTCCATGTCTATAGCACAGAATAAATTATTTTCAGTGTTGTTATACAGAAATAATCTAAATTGTTATTATTTTTTTATTTATTTTTTAGAAAGAATGTGTTTTGTTGAGAAAATGGCTTGCATTGAAGGTAGATGTTCTATTTTTAAACTGGGTAGCATCAGCCATTTTTATTAATGTTATCCCTCCAATTTTGGGGGCAGTCCTGAGTAATATGAAATTATCTCTATCTGCAGCTTTCCCCTCATTCTGTTTGAAGCTTATATAATACATTTTTCCAATACTGCACTGTCCTCTTGCTCTTCTTCCTACTATTTCTGCTTTCCCCTTCCCTTTGCTTGCTTGCTCTGTGTAACATTTGGCTTAATCACGTATTTTAGAAAACTTGAAAATTTAACCACTTTCCCCCTCCTCCACTGCCACTACATCATCTAAACGGGCTTCTCTAATACAGAGCTTTTTTTAAATAATAAGCATGTTTCAGTCTTTTTTCTGCCACCAACACTGATGAAGTTACCTAGTTTGGGTAATGAAACGTTTGCAAGAAAACAACCAAGTTTGGAAAGCACCAAGGACCCTTCAATCTTTTTTCTCCCTTTATGACATCATCTTGTGTTCTTCGTTCCCCAGGTCAAGAAGTCAACGAAGTTATCCTTTCCAGATTAAGACTCCGAGTTCTTCCGCTTGAAGTGCTACAAAATAACAGTATAGAGATCCTGAATTTGGACCGGAACAAACTGAAACATGTCACTGGGATTTCAAGCCTTTACAACCTGAAAAAATTGATTTTGTCGAAAAATGCTCTGACAGATTTCCCAGTGGAAATCCAGAACCTGATCCATCTGGAGAAGCTCGAGCTCAATCAAAATCAAATCCGAGGTATCCCAGAGGGGATCTTCTGTTCTCTCCCTAAGTTAAAACATCTTCGACTTAACAACAACCATTTAGACAGCCTTCCTAAGGATTTACGTTCCTGCCGGGACTCTCTCCAGTATCTGAACTTGTCTACAAATGCATTTCAAGCCATCCCTCAAGTAGTCTTGGAGTTGAAAAACTTGCAAGAATTCTACATGCAAAACAATTTTTTGCATCAGCTCCCCAAAGAGATGTTCACAGAGCTGTCCCTGAAGATGTTCAAAGTAAGTGGGAACTCACTGAGGGAACCCCCAGATGAAGTATGCGCAGGGGGTATCAAGCAAATCATCAGTTACTTCAACCAGCTACAGAACGGCCAAGCTGAGGAAGACAAGCGTGTCAAGACAATGTTTTTGGGGACATCCTTAGCAGGAAAGTCTACAGTGTGCAAAAGCTTAAAGCAGAGACAAGTTGTTCATCTATCCATGGAAGAACGCACCATTGGGATTGAGATAAGCGAGTTCCATATCCAAGGCTTCACCTTTCTCTTTTGGGATTTTGCTGGCCAGCTGGAATACTATGTGACCCACCATATGTTCATTACTTCACAAGCCCTTGTCATCTTGGTCATTAACCTTCACCAGTAAGTGTTCTCTGGCTTTCTTTGCGAACATGTGTTGTACTTATTTATGGATGAGATTTAAATGGTCACCCAAGTTGTAATTCAGGATAGCTAGTGTGGGTTTTAGGACGCACAACAAAAAATAAACAATACGTTTTTTAAAACACAAAGATAGGATGCAATATAATCAAGGCTGAACAGCAACCATATTTATATTCTTGACACCTTCAAGCAGGCTCATCCACATCCTGGCCCTAATGCCAAGAAGTGTGAAATGTTTTTCAGTGACAGTTCCCTTTATTTTAAGTGGAACAGACAGATCTAAATACTCACACCTAGTTCTAAATGAGTCACATTTAAATGCTTAAAACTTTGACTCTTGGGGGTGATATTATAGAGGCAACAATCACTGTTTTTCTCCTACTTCATTGCTATCTGATTAGTGGGGCATCTCAGGCTAAATGTTATTCCAGTCCAACTGAAATCACTTCCAATAAACCAGCATAAGGTT